ATATTATAGTTTTTAATATTTTCCGGTCCGGTCCGGTTAAACCGGCGGTTTGCCGCAGGTAATCCGTTAACTGGACCGGTTATTCCGGATTTTTAAACAAATTAACCACCGAATTTTTTAAGATGTTTTAACCGACTATTTAACCAATCTGCGGTCTGGGTTGACGGTTTTTTTCAGTTAAAACCAGACCGTGAACACCCCTAGCAGGTAATGTATTAGTAGTACAATAGATGTGTAATATACGGGTATTTGTTAGAAAAATATACTTAAATTTTAAAAGTAATAGTACAGTATTTATGTTTTATATGGGTGTTTGTTAAAAATATATATAAATTTAAAAAGTAATAAAAAAAAGTATTTTAAATATTTTTTTAAAAAAATAATATTATAATTATTATATATTTAAAATGATACTATCACATTTGCTACTTTGTAGTATAAACTTTTTTAAACTTGTATCATAGAACTACTTTGTAGTTAAGCTTCTTTATTATAAATAATTTAAGTTTTCCAACTAATATTAATAGATGATTTAAATTTTATTTATAAATAATTATATAGTTATTTATTTACTTAATCATACAATATAAATGTCAAATCAAAGCTAATGAAGAGATGACCGATTTGATATATTATATACGAAAATTTGGTAATAATTATAAAAGAACTTTTAAAATACATTTCTACAATTTAAGTTAGTACAGTGTAATATAATGAAAACGAAAATATTGGGAGAAAAGAAAGATTGAGGCAAAAAAAATTATTCCTTATAAAACGCGTCCTGAATAGAAAATCACTCCTATATATAATTCTCGAATATTTAGAGCCTAAGTGAGAAACACGTACGTTTGAGTTCATATGCGGAAAACTTTTAAGCTTTGTTGTTTGGCTTGGATGCAATGACGGATCTACAAATTTTACTCAAGGGAACCCGATTTTAAATCTTAAAAAGAGATCTTGTAGTTTATGTTGAAATACTCATTTCATATAAAAATGTATTTACTATAAAAATAAAAGAAGATATGTGTACCATCAAGTTTTTTAAGAACTTAGAAACCGCAACTTAAAATAAATAAATAAATAAAAATAAACAAAAGAATGAGCTTTCGTGTATTTATAATTTAAGCTCAACATCTATAATTTATCAAAAAATATTTTTTTTTTTCAAAAAATTGATCTAAATTGAACATTTGTACCACATTAGCATTTTTTTTTTGTGAGAGCTTATCAAATGAATATTTTTTTAAGAAAAATTAATAAATCTAAGAATATGTGTTATACAAAAAAAAAAGAATAAAACGTCAACAATAAAAATGTATAATCCAACTAATAACTCAATTTTATAAATTACTAAATTAAATTACAATTAAGAGACCGAAAGCGTAAATCATTATAAAATATTTTCAAAAGCTTACCTAGAATTTAAATTATAAGGATTGTTAAAACATTTTTCAATAAATAAAAAATATTATTAATTTAAATAAAAATAGCATAGAATATAAGTTTTAATTAGTAATACATTGTAAATATTTTTTTATATATCTATACATATTTTATAGTATTTTATTTATATATATTGTTTTGATAAGTTTTAATTATTAATATATTGTAAAAAAAATTGCATTTCTATACATTTTATAGTATTTTCACTATATATATATATATATATATAT